TGAATGTCCACCCCTAGAATGGCAGTCCCCCTCCTTCACACCCCCATCTGAAATGTTCCTGCTCCTGCAGATGGGGCACTGCAGTCACAGTTCCGCAGGGACTCATGTCTGCAACAGAAGGACTTTCCCAATGGCAGAGGGAAAGCAGGTAAGTTCAGGGGGAGGGGAGATAGTGTTTTCTAACTCTTCATGCAACTAAACGCAACGTGTGACAAAACATGGATGGAAATCAGCAGTTGAATTGATTTTTCTGGCTGTAAATGTGGAAAATCTTCATTTTACTGTTCTTTTCAGGGAAAACCTGCTCAATGGTTCTGAGAATATGGTGATGTAAGATGAAAACACAAAATAGTGAGAATGCTTTTTGGGGGAACCTAAAAGGAAAGAGGAGACACATGAGGGATGCCACTGGACAGGAATTCATTGGATGCAGTTTAAAAGTAAATCATCCCAGTTCTCGGCTGGGCTTCTGCCTCCTGTTGCTGGGGATTCCCACGCCTTGCAGCTGCTTGCTTCCTCCCCATGCATTTTCCCTTGGAGCTGTGAGTTCCTGCAACCTCCAGGGCCCTGCTGTAGCTCTCCTGCATTAGACCAGCCCCCTGCTCCCTGGGATGGAGGAAGCAGAGCTCCTCAGTACTGCAATCATCATCTCCTTGCAGCTTTCCGAGGGGGTCAGGGAGCCTTTAGAGGACAGCAGAGCAAGCTCCTGCTGGCTTCACTGGCTCACCAAAATCAACCTCCACTTCCTGCCAACTGCATTCCAAGCACAGCAGCTTTAGCTGAGCCCAGCAAATGGGAGGCACTTCTGCAGGAGATCTCAGACACACATTCCCAAGGTCAAAGCAAAAACCTTCAAGCTCAAAAGGGATCACTTGCAAGGCAAGCATGCACTGGAGAGCACTCTGATATCTCTGTGCTGTGGGAATGAGCACCCTGTGGGTTTGCACTGCCTTCTGCTCCCGCCACCTCCAGAAACTTGGGATGGTGCATTTAGGAAGAACAAGGTCAGCTTTTTGTAGATATATAGGAGACAACCAGGGCTTCATATCACACAGCTGCTCTGAGCTCTTGATTAAAGCATTCCAAAGAGCAGCAGAACCAATGTGCAGCACATTGGGTTAGGAAGGATGATAGGGTTGTGTGAAAGAAATGCCTCCCCCAGCAGCAAGCACTGGGCTGGAGGAGGCACCAAAATCAAATCCTGCTTGCACCATTTCCTCTCCTCATTCCACGTGCTGACATTTATTTTAAGAACAAAACACAAGACTACAGTGAAGAAAGCTTCAGAACAACTCAGCTACTTTATTCATCCCCTTTCCCTTTCCACTACAGATGATTTTCAGAAAACCTCCAAGAGCCACGTTACTGCTCTCCTGACCCCTCTCAGATTCATCAGTGCACTCACAAATTACTGAGAGCAACACAAGCACACAGACACACAGAACATCCCTACACAGCCGCTTCTCCTTAGGAAATAGCATCAAAAAGCTGCTGGCAGGAAGAGCAGAAGAGGAAAGCGGGCATGGTGAGAGAGCTGCTTTGGGCAGCAGGGAAAGGCCATCTGAAGCTCCTGAGTCACGTCCCCTGTACAGAGGGTGCCAGTGATGTCATCTCCTTTGCAAACTCTTCCTGTGTTGGCACCGAAACCAAACCCTCCAAGAAGCATTGGGGTTTCTGTCATCCTGAGCTCTCCAGCATCCTCAAGGTCTCTCCCTCCGCTGGGGGTTTTCCCAGGAGAAACGAGGTGCCAGCCCTGAGAGAATCTCCTCCTGCACCAGAGACACTTGCAGGGCCACCATCTCATGTGGCCTGGGCAATGTTTAATGAGGATGGAGATCTGGATGAAGCTCTTCCTGAAGTGCAGGCATTTTTAGGGTCTCTGCCACAGGCCAGTCAGCCTCACCTCTGTCCCTGGAAAGGTGATGGAACAGGTTGTGCTGGATGCCATCTCCAGACAACTGGAAGAAAAGGAGGTTATCAGGAGTAGTCAGCATGGGTTCACCAGGGGGAGGTCATGTTTGACCAACCTGGTAGCCTGCTATGATGTTGTCACTGGCTGGGTGGATGGGGGAGAGCAGTGGATGTAGTCTACCTTGATTTCATCAAGGCATTTGATACTGTCTCCCACGACATCCTTATAACAAATCTGAGGAAGTGTGGCATAGATGAGTGGACAGTGAGCTGTGTTGAAAACTGGCTGACTGGCAGAGCACAAAGGGTCGTCATTGGCGGTGCAGAGTCCGGTTAGAGGCCTGTAACCAGCAGTGTTTCCGGTGCTGGGGCCGGTCTTGTTCAACATCATCAATGACCTGGATGAGGGAATAGTGGCCACCCTCAGCCAGTTTGCTGATGATACAAAATTGGGAGGATTGGCTGACACACCTGAAGGCTGTGATGCCATTCAGCGAGACCTGGACAGGCTGGAGAGCTGGGCAGCAAGAAACCAGATAAGGTTTAACAAAAACACATATAGAGTCTTGCATCTAGGGAGGAATAATTGCATGCATCAGTACAAGTTGGGAGATGACCTGCTTGAGAGGAGCTCTGCAGAGAGGGACGGGGGCGTCCTGGTGGACGACAGGTTGGCCATGAGCCAGCAGTGTGCCCTTGTGGCCAAAAAGGCCAACGGCATTCTGGGATGCACGTGAGGAGCTCTGCGCTCTGCACAAAGCCCTTCTCACACTCGAGGCATTTCTAAGGCTTCCAGCCACATGAACTCACTGGTGCAGGCACGGATTGGACTTCACCCAAGTGCAGACACTCCAGTACCGCAGCAGGTTTGAGCTGTGGCCAAAGCTCTTCTTGCAGGCTGCACACCTGTAGGGTTCCTCGTGTGGATCCACTGGTGTGTGATGAACTTCCAGCTGTGGACGGACCATTTCCTGCAGTCAAGGCACTCACAGGGACTCTCCTCTTGGGTTGGTTCTCTGGCTTGAGCTCCAGATGAAGCTCTTCCCACACTACCTGCAGACAGGATTTCTTCCTTCCTGGTGACGTATCAGCCCAGCTGAGGTTTCCTTTGGGTCCTCACCTGCTGCCCCACAGCAGATGAGTATCTACAGGGGAAGTAAGATGTGACTCTCCTTGCACACAGCCCTGGCAGAAATATGCCAAACTGGCAGAGGGTTTCCAGTGGCTGTGACACATCCCTCTCTGGATTCTCCTTTGCATCGCCACTCAACACAGCAACTGCAGCTGTAAGAGAACAATATGCATAATTCCCATGCAAAGAAGGAGAAAGAGGATTGAGTTTGGCCGCAGAGCTCTTCCTCTACTCAAGGGATTTGTAAGGTTCATCACCACACAAAGTGACAGGGTGGTGACCAGGCTGGAGCTCTGGCTGAAGCTCTGCCCATGTTCGGGGCTGTGCAGGTTCTGTATCTTGTGTGGCTGTGCTGGTAGGTAATGAGGCTGGAACTGCTTTTGAAGGTTCCTCATATCTTGGGGATGCTTCTACAGCCTTTGTGCTTTGTGGATATGCTTGTGGGTATTGAGATTAGATCTGCGTTTGAAGCTCTTCCCACACTCAGGGCATTTGTAGGGTCTCTCCCCCGTGTGGATGCGCTGGTGCTGCTTCAATTCAGAACTGCCTTTGAAGCTCCTCCCACACTCAGGACACTGAAAAGGTCTCTCCTCTGTGTGAACGCGCTGGTGCTGCTTCAATTGACAACTGCTTTTGAAGCTCTTCCCACAGTCAGGGCACTTGTAGGGTCTCTCCCCTGTGTGGATGCGCTGGTGCTGCTTCAATTCAGAACGGCTTTTGAAGCTCTTCCCACATTCAGAACACTGAAAGGGTCTCTCTCCTGTGTGGTTGCGTTGGTGCAAACTGAGGTGGGAACGGCTTTTGAAGCCCTTCCCACACTCAGAGCACTTGTAGGGTCTCTCCCCTGTGTGGCTCCACTGGTGCTGCTTCAATTCAGAACTGCTTTTGTAGCCCTTCCCACACTCAGGACATGTAAAAGGTTTCTCTCCTGTGTGGATGCGCCGGTGCAGCTTTAATTCAGAACTGCTTTTGTAGCCCTTCCCACACTCAGGACATGTAAAAGGTTTCTCTCCTGTGTGAATGCGCCGGTGCACCTTTAATTCAAAACTGGTTTTGAAGCTCTTCCCACACTCAGGACATGTAAAAGGTTTCTCTCCTGTGTGGACGCGCTGGTGCTGCTTCAATTCAGAACTGCTTTTGAAGCTCTTCCCACACTCAGGACACTGAAACGGTCTCTCTCCTGTGTGAATGCGATGGTGCTTCTTCAATTCATAGTTCCTTTTGAAGCTCTTCTCACATTCAGGACACTTGTAGGGTCTCTCTCCTGTATGAATGCGTTGGTGGAAACTGAGGTGGGAATGGTTTCTGAAGCTCTTCCTACACTCAGAGCACTTGTAGGGTCTCTCTCCTGTGTGGGTGCACAGGTGCTGCTTCAATTCATAGTTCCTTTTAAAGCTCTTCCCACACTCAGAGCACTTATAGGGTTTCTCTCCTGTGTGGATGCGCTGGTGGCAGGTGAGGTAGGAACTGCTTCCGTAGCTCTTCCCACACTCAGTACACTTGTAGGGTCTCTCTCCTGTGTGGGTGTATTGGTGGGAGGTGAGGTGGGAACTACTTTTGAAGCTCTTCCCACACTCAGAGCACTTAAAGGGTCTCCGTCCTGTGTGGATGTGCTTGTGGCGGGTTAGTTGGGATCTCTTTTTGAAGCACCTTCCACAATCAGAGCACTTGTATGGGCTCTGTGCTGAGTGTATGCACTGTTGGTTAATGATGCTGGAATCTACTTTAAAGCTCCCACAAAGCTCAGTGCATGGATCCTGCTTTTTCTTCTGGCTCACATCCTTGCTCCTGGGTTCTTCAGGACACTTTTCACCTATGTTGAAGTCCAGTGGGCTGCTTACTGTCTTTACCAGACACTTTCCCAGTGGATTCTTGATGCACTCACTCTGACCTTGCTCCAGGCCTCCTTGGACATCCCTCCTGATTTCTTCCACACAGACACTACCCAACCACCTTTCGGCCACTCCACTTTCCTGCAGATCCTCCAATACATCTGCAATCCGAGTTCCTGCTGGATGACAGAGAAAATCCAGAAATAGCACACAATGCACAAAATAAAATCAAGACAGAGATGGCTTTTACAGCCAAAGCCTCCTCCTTCCCTCCACCACCTCACCTGGGCTGAGGTCTCCTGGCACAGCCTCAGGGCTACGCACATCTGGGATCCAGGGGTCTTCCCCTCCTTCAAGCAGGGAGATCACCATGGGTTTGTGGGCTGGAAGTGGAGCTTCGATGACAGAAATATGGAGATAAGAGAGCTTCCCCTGATTCTGGTACAGCTGCTTGTCCAACAACTCCTCTCTCTGTCCCTCCACATGATGAAACCACAATCTGGACCAGAATTACTTCTATAGAATTTCATAGAATTTTCTTTTATATTTTCGAAATGCTCAACACCGAAGGCTTCAAAAATGTTTATGGGAATGGAATAAAGAGACAATAAATGCTAAAGAGATAACCTCATGGAGCTGGAGTGGTCTGATTGCTGGAGCTACTGGCACCATGCAATGCAAGAACACAAGGGTTGTTTGCAGGGAGATGGTTTTACCCCCCCTGGCTGATGCCTGCTTGCCAGCACAAACTTGCAGGCATTTATCAGAATGCTGAGCACAATAAGCCCCCCACGAAACTCATGCTTCTCAGTATTTCCTTTGTTGCTGTTACATATTGATAACTGCACAGCTATTATTCTAGGCCCGGCCTGCAGAGGCTCATTCTGCACAGCCAAAGGTGCCCTAACGAGGAGGAAAGGCAG